ATTTCTATAGCATCAGGAGGGGACCCATTTAAACTGAAGGCCAACCATGTACTGGGAAAGGAGGTGTAGGCTAGGACACCCAGAGACCTGGGTCCCCACCCCAGCTCTGCCCTGCAGGGTTCTGTAACGTTGAGTAAGTTTCTTCCCTTCCTATGCTGCAGTCATGCCCTTCTGTAAAGTGAGGATGTCAGAGAGGGTCTCTAAAGACCCGTTTTCCCTACGTGACCCAGCTCACATGTCACCTCTGTGAAGCCCTGCCTGGTCTCCCTCAAAAACCCCATTGCTTCAGTAAGACTCACACCTCTGAGCACACAGTGACTATCTATTTCTGTTCTCTCCTCCTAACTGAGAGTGCTTTATCTCAGCACATTGGTTCATTCGAATCATTAGGAAGTACAGAGTGAACTAATGAATGCGGGATGTTATTGCTAGGTCTGCAATCCCTGCATTTTCCACCAGGTGGCAATGTGCACAGGTGGCCACAACACAAACCTTGCATTTGGTAGAAGCTCTGGGAAAAGATGCTGAAGAGAACAGAGAACCAGGGAGGACGTTCATCAAAGACTTATCCCCTGGTTCTTCAGTGCGTATTTCTTACCCCTTCCCAGCCCACACCTTTAAAGTGTCCTTCTTTAACACAGACCTGAGCACAGACAGCAACACAGACTTGAGCTACAGGCCTGGATTCCATGTTTCCAAGCTTCTCAGCTGGCTGAGCCAGGCAGTGATCTGGCCCTCACTGACCTCTCCAGCCTCCGCACTCTCCACAGCACCTCAGCTGGGCTGAGTCGTCTCCTCATTCCTGACTGTGCCATGTTCTCTCTGGTCTTCATGCTTTCAGCCACACTGTTCCCTCTCTCTCCTTTCCTAGACAGCATTTACTGGCTGCTCAAGGTTCAGTGTAGGGAACACGTTTTCCAGAAGGTGGACTATTTTCCCCAAGCACTTTGCTGAAACAGCATTTATTGCACAAAATCGCCTCCAATCTGCCTTCCTGAGGCCACCTTCCTGAGCACACAGCACCTGGCTTACTCATCTAACCACCCCCGGCACCCCACACAGGCCTGGCAAGCAGTAGCATGCCCTCTGAGAGATTGCTGAATGAAGATGAATCTATGAATCTACAAATTAGGGATGTGATGCAGCAGGATGAACAGAAAACCATCTCCCTCTCCCCAACAGGGAGACATCTGAGAATAAGACAAAAACGACTACAGTTGACCCTTGAACAGCGTGGAGGGGTTAGGGGCACTGACCATCCATACAGTTGAAAACCTGCATAGAACTCTTGGCTTTCTGAAACTTAACTACTAACAGTCTACTGCTGATCAGAAGCCTTACCAATAACATGGTCAACTCACATATTTTATATGTCATGTGTATTGAATATTCTTAACAATAAAGTAGGCTAGAGAAAAGAAAACGTTATTAAGAAAACCACAAGGAAAATGCATTTACGGCACTATACTGTAAAAAATTTGCATATAAGTGGATCTGCATGGTTCAAATCCGTGTTGTTCAAGGGTCAACTGTACATTTTTATGTTGACACTGGCTCTGGAAGAGACTGAATGTTTCTCCGCACGATAATGACATACTATTACTTTGAAAGGAGCAGAGCCAAGGGCATGTTAAAAGGAGACAAATGCTTTCCTCAAGTGAGATGAGGCTGTGTGGTCTTCTAAGAAAACGAATCCTCCCAATGACAAGGTGACATTGCCTTCAATTATTTACGAGGAAGCTGCTCACTCTCTGGGTGAAAAGGTAAAGTTCAAGGGGCTTTCCCCTGGCCCTGCCTCTTATAATAGCCCTGCTTCCATGCGTCACAGAACTCATGTTGGGATTCTGCTAGTTGCCAAGTATGTCTCTTCTATGCAGGACCTGGGAAGCAACCACAGGGGGGTTTGCTGTGATTTGCATGTGGGCCCTGAGTGCTGTCACTCCCCTCCCTTTGACTGTGGGCTACAGGGAGCCACCCTAGTAAATGGTCAGATATCCTTCTAGGGAGGACTTAGAGGAGGATTTGTAGAATTTGTATAGCATCCTTCTGTAAAGAGATCTGGCCTCTCCTTCCACATTAGGTCTGAAAACTGGATAAGACACCGTGGTGATTCAAATCAACTTTTGGACACCAGTGTTCCTACTGTACGCAGCAAGTAACAGTTTAGTAGGATGCTCACTCTTTCTTTCCTAGGGACACTGTGACAGCCAGACAATGCCAAAGATCCCTGTGAGTCGAAACCAGGATGTCCTCCCTGGTATCTCAACTAACTGCAGGTCATCATTAAGCCTCAGTTTCATGTAAGCAGCTAAGTAAACTACAGAGTCACTTCCAGCTACACCAACCAACACATTGAACCCAGAACACCTGCATCAACTCAATCAAGAGTTATATTCTGTCCTCTTTGGTCTTTCACTCTTAGAATCCATTCCTGCACATGCCCCCCAAGTTGCTGCAATGTAATTTAGCAAAATCTTGACATCCTTGTGGTATAAAAACTCTATCTTCTCAGATTAGACTCTGTATTTGCCCTGCTCAAGCTCATGGAACTGGTGCCACAAAAGGCAGGTGGGGTAGGTCTTTTTTTTTTTTTTTAGTGCTTATTTATTTTGGGGAGAGACAGAGGCAGAGACAGAGCATGAGTGGGGGAGGGACAGTGAGAAGAAGATGCAGAACTAGAAGGAGGCTTCAGGCTCCACACTGTCAGCACAGAGCCTGATGCAGGGCTCGAACTCACAAACTGTGAGATCTTGACCTGAGCCAAAGCAACGCTTAATCAACTGAACAACCCAGGCACCCCAGGTGGGGTAGGTCCTGAAAAGAAAGGGTTTGCCTTGCCAGGTAACAGCCCTGGGTAACTTCACACAGGATCCTTAACCAGGGGAAAGTGAATCTCCCCCAACATAACTGGTAAGCTGCTTCCACTGGAAGAAAAAAATTTAAAAAAGGCTTAGAATAACTCAAAGGCTCAAGATTCTCAACTTCATTTCCTTCATTTGAATCCACTCAGATATCCCCATTCAAGGCCAGTACCTGCAAACAGTTGTTGTATTAACCTTTCTGGGTGTTACAGTTATTTACAACAGGAGGGCAAGTCCTCTGTCATATCTTGGCTGCCCCACATCTAAATTTCCATCGTTGAAGAGCTGGCTTCAACATCTGACTATGCTCCCTCTTCCACAGTACCAAAGTGAAATCTGTCCCTCTATAACTCCCCCTCCCTTGCATGGAAACCCACCCCTCTCTCTGCTCTGGAATGGCCTGCCAGGGGCTTGGAGGCAGGGATTTTATTTTCTCCCAGCCTGGATGAGGGATTTCTATGAATGGCCGAACTGTTAAGCTTGAGATTCAAGTCTATGGTTCATTTATGGAGAAATCTCTCGCCACCCTAGCTCCTCAGACTGGGACACTGACACCCACTTTAGCAGCTTCTGAGTATGCATGCATCCCCTGTAAGTGCGGTACGAGCTAGCCTCCCCTGTGTGCCAGCTGTGAGCAGAGAAGGTAGAAATTCACACTACAGGAACTCACCACCCGCCAGACATCACAGGTGCCTCAATCCCCTTCCCTACCAGGGGAACTCATCCCTTCTTTTCCCCATAATCTCATGAGACCCGCAGATGTCGCCCACAGTGTTAATTGGCACTCTGGGAACCAGAGTTTACTGGGCTATGGGCTTTGCAGGCAGTTTTAAAGGAAATGGACAACAACCTAAAAGGCCCCTCCATCTCTAAGAGCTCAGAGAAAGGAAAAACTGCACAGGGCAGATGAGGATGAAGGTGTGAAGGCAGGAAGAGCCTTCCATACAGCTTGGTCAGCAAGTTCCTCCCTCCAACCAATGTCTTCATTTGGCCACACACCAAACTCCAGCAATCAGGACTCCTAAGGGTGTCCTGTGTGGGTTCCCTGAGTAGGCCAGGGATAGGATACACAGAGCCTGGCTTCAAGCACAGGCCACATGAATAAATATCTGATTACAAAAACCTGGGCTACCATATCTTTCCAACATGCACTGTCCACGAACCACAGATATGCTGACACTCGTGAGCCAGGACATTCATCACAGCATTACTTGTAGTAACAAAAGGATTGAACACTGACTAAATACCTGCGGGTTTTGTGCAGTTAAACACTGTGCAAAGTTTGAAGGTCTGAGGTCAACCCCAAATAGATGACCATATCTCATCACAACCAAAGTCACTTTCGACTGTAAAATATACCATGACTTTAGTATCATGGGGGGGGGGGGGGCGCAATTAAACAATGCTCCATTGTTTGTACAAGCCCTATTTCAGAGATGGTAAGAGGTAGGGAAACTATGGGAAATACCAAAGGTGGAAAAACTTAATGCAGAGTAACATTCAGGGCATGCTAGTGTGTGCGTGCGTGCGCGCGCGTTGTGTGTTTAAAGGAAGGAGCTATGCAACCATACGTGCTTTAATGGGCATGCAGAATTTCTGCAAAGACACAAGAATCCGATAATGAGTGGCCTCTTGAGGCTGGGGTGGATCACTGGATCATAGGGTGGAAAGGAGACTCTTTTCATCATTGTATCCATTTGTAAACTCTGAAATTTTAAACTATGGATTCCCTTATTAAAATAAAACTTTGAAACCTACTAAACGCAAAATAAAGTAGCGCGTCCTTGTGGGAGGATTAAGGGACAGGACAGCTGGACCCAGCTTTGAATCGGACACCGTACACCCAATCCCGGCGCCACCACAGCGTCCTCGGGCAAGTTCCCGCCTGGAGTGGTCTGTTTCCTCCCAAGAACCTAATGGGTCTAGGAGAGCAGGTATCGGGACGTCACTCCAGCTGGGAATTGGGGCAGCCGGGAGCCCACCCCTCGGCTCCGGTCCCAGGCCGGGCAGCCGGCTGAGGCGCCCCGCGGTGGAGGCCCGGCCAATCAGCGGCCGCGGGGCGGGCGGGGTGGCGGCGCGGCGCGCACGAAACCCAGCGCTGCGCGAAGCAGAGGCGCCAGTGCCGTCCCGAAGCAGACCATGCCGCGCTCACCCTCGGTCTTCCCGCTGCTACTTCTGCTACTGCCGCCGCTGGCCTCAGGCCTCGGACTCCGCGCCGCCGGCGGCCGGCGCCCCGAGTGCGGCCCGTGCCGGCCTGAGCACTGTCCGGCGCCCGCACGCTGCCCCGCGCCCGGGATAGCGGCGCGCGACGAGTGCGGCTGCTGCGCGCGCTGCCTGGGCGCCGAGGGCGCAAGCTGCGGGGGGCGGGCCGGTGCGCGCTGCGGCCCGGGCCTGGTGTGCGCCAGCCGCGCCGCGGGGGCGGCGCCCGAGGGCACCGGGCTCTGCGTGTGCGCGCAGCGCGGCGCCGTCTGCGGCTCTGACGGCCGTTCCTACCCCAGTGTCTGCTCGCTGCGCCTGCGCGCCCGGTACGCGCCCCGCGCGCACCCCGGCCACCTGCACAAGGTGCGTGATGGCTCCTGCGAATTTGGTGAGTATGACTTTTGCCCCGCGGTGCTGGGATAGAAGAGGGACCCCCCCCCAACCCTCAGGAGTGTGGGACGAAGGATCCCTTAATGGCCAGTGGTTGACAGCCTCAGTTTTTCCTTTGGAAGCAGTAACAGAAGGAGATTGGGACAGGAATCCACATCCTGCACCCTTCCTTACCAAGCTCATGGAGATACAAGTCCCCAGGCTGGTCAGAATTCTGGTGAGCCTGTTGTCCCTTTTAGTACAGTACCAAAAGTCCTGCAGTCATGTGCAGGTCTGCCATGGTCGCCTCCACCAGACTGGGAGTTGGGGAGGAGGCACCCTGCTGGGTGTGAGCCCCCCAGGTCCAGCACCAGGCCAGGCCAGGGTGGGGTTTTTAAAGGGAGAGTCAGAGAAGGTAAAGATCCTGGAGAAGGAGGAGGTCCAGACAGGAGACTCAGGAATCACTAGGCCAGAACACCAGGGTTGGGGCCCTGCTGGGAGGACCTGAGGGATCTCCCACCCAGGACAGGTAAGACCTTTGGAGACCTAAGCTCTGAAAAGATGAGGGTGCCATCAGGGAGAGACCTGGGTTTTGTGAGTCTAAGGCTTATATGACTTGGAGGGTCAAGGAATCGAAATGTATTCATTGCTGGGTAACTGGAAACTTAAAGTTCATTAACATCACAGTAAAGTCATCTAAAATTGCCCACCGCTATATATCATTTTTAAAACCCAAACAAAAATAAACCAAAAACATCAGTATAGATATGCCCAGTGAAGCATCCTTCTGCCCCATTAGGTTTTGAAGAACTGCCCCTGTCTACACTGCCTGAAGGGGCCAGTGGAGGGTTGAGGTGAGTGAGCTTGTGGCCAGGATGTTCCAAGGAGCCTGGCTTGGAGCTCTGGTCTGGGGCTGGAGACCCAAGTCTAGACCTAAATGCCCAAGTCAGGGTAATGACTTTACTATTATTTTCCCAAGCATTTCTGGTAGGTGCACTCAAGTGCAGGAGACTCAGGAGGTTGTTGGGGATGAGACAGGAAATCTCCTGTCCCGGAAAACAAAAACAGTGTGCTGCCCATTGAGGGGGGTGAGGTAGCCCCTGAGCACAGGAAAGTCACCGGTGGCTGCTCCTGGCTGGGGTGCCCGGTGGAGGAAAGAGCTGGCTGGTGCTTCCATGCTGCTGCCGGTTCCCTGAGTGATCTTGGGATGGTACCTAGCCCTCTCTGGGCTGAGTCAGCCCTGTGAAACCACTATTGAGGCCCCTTCCACCTTGAACCTTTGTTTCTGCCGTGTGGCATTAAATAGTCCTGTCTCCTCCCTTCTAGTTCCTAATCCTCCTTTTTTACAATCTGCTTTCTTAGCAGTTAATTCACAGCCAGTTCTCTTTGTCTCCAGACAAGTACTCCACATGCGGGAGACACAAGAAATGCTGACCAGGTCCCTAGAATCCAACCGGTGCTGATGGTCTCAGATGATTTCTCCCTAGAGTGATTGTCTGTTCCTTGAAGACACATAGACCAAATCTGCTGTTATGCAGAGGAGAATGAGACCCAGGGTGTCAGGGGACACATCCAGGGTGACTAGTAAAGCCTGACCAGCATCCAGGACCCCAACACCCTCTGCGGTTACTCTTTCAGGACAGGAGTTGATAGTGTTAAGACAGGCAGGTGGTGGTTGCCATGGTTACCAGAGTGCGGCCAGATGGCAGATGGAAACCCCATTCCCCTAATTCATTGAAAATTACCAAATGACAAGTAAATGTGACAGCCCCTCCACTCTGATCTAGGGGGCTCTGAGGCCCACCCCAGGCACAAGCCCCAGGAGTCAAGATGTTCAAGGAGCCAAAAGGAGGGGAATTCAGAAGCTGCTTTTAATGATCCCATTAGTGACAGGCATGGGGCCTCCCCGGAATTTAGCTCTCCGTCCCCACCAGCAGGTGTATCATTTGCCACAGACCTGGGCACTGTTTCCCCATCTCTTCTTGTCCTGAAGTGTTTGTGTGGCCCCTGCCCAGGTGTCCTGGTGAGCATGAAGGGTAGACGGGGGAAACTTTCCTGGCCAGTGAGGGTGACACTCGTTGTGTGCTGCCCTAAAGTCATCCTTTATTCAGAAGACGTAGCAGGGGCACTTTTTAACAATGCCCCTAGGGATCCCGGTGGAAGGGAAATAGGCCAAGTCATGGCAGCAGCTGTTCTCCCTCAACACTGTTAATAAAATCACCCCTCCTCGGCTCTCACCTACCCTTCAGTAGCGAGCACCTGACTTCCACTGAACGAGAGCTCTGTAAATATCTATTAGGTTCCGCACAGTGTGGGAAGTCTTCTTACACATAACTCGGAGGGGCATTTGGAAACCCTGTGGAGGCTTAACCTCTGTCCTTTCCTCCCATGCTCTGAAACTCTCCCAAATGCCCAAGAGCGAGAGCAATCCTTTGATTAACACACTGAATGAAGACTTACCCTGTTCCCACATATGAATAATTCTCTACTGTTGGAATTGCTCTTGCACCCCATCTTCTTACTCGGTTCTCACAACCACCCTGCCCAGACCTCGCTCCTATTTAATAGAAAGGAAAACTGAGGCCCACCAAAGGGAACTAGCTGGAGCTGCATGGCTAGCTCTTAGCTGAGGTAGGGCTCCAGCTGGGTTTTCCTGGCTTTTTACTTAAAAATGTTTATTTATTTAAGGGGGGGGAAGGGGCAGAGAGAGAGGGAGACACAGAATCCGAAGCAAGGTCTGAGCTGTCAACACAGAATCCTATGTGGGCCTCAAACTGGGAGATGGTGACCTGAGCCAAAGTTAGACGCTTAACTGACTAAGCCACCCAGGTGCCCCTCTTGGCTCTTTTCAGATGGAGCCATGCACCTCTAGCCCGCTGGTCACCTAATTAGGAAGGGGCTGCAAACTGGCTACAGTTGAGTCACAAGGGTTTCTCAGTCTGGATCCACTGTCCTGTTTTCGCCCCAAGGCTTGCTGCTGGTTCCTCTGTTGAGCACTGGGTGATGGCCCCAGAGAGGAACAGGGGTAGCTTTACAGAAGGGGAAATACCCGAGAGAAACTCTGAAGGACTGGTAGAAAATTCTTGGGCACAGAAGCAGGGATAGAAAGGCTCAGCATGAATTAGGCACAGAGGTAAGAGCTGTTATGAGGAGGTAGGGAGTCCTGTGATGGGTGTGAACAGTGGCCTGCTGGGCAGGTACCCAGGGGGATGGTTGGGGAAGTGGGTGACACCCAGAGAGGTTTGGGGCGGGGGCATCGCCAGCCTTGAGTGCCAGGCTGAGGGATGAAGCTTCATTCTGTACTAAGTCATTGTTTTCGTTTCTCATTTGTTAGGTGGCGTGGCGTTGTTGTTAAAAGGCTGTATTATTGCATGTGTGCTCCCTGACCATTTGCTAACATTGGGAGGGGGTGGGGATCCTGCAGAAAGCGGGTTTTGAATAGCATGTTTTGAATGCTAAATTAGATAGGAACAGGGCCCCGTGCCAATACCCAACAGGGCACCGAGCCCCTGAAGCTTCAGTGAGTTCTTGAGATCCTGAATCTTAGAAAATTCACCTCGGTTAAAATTCAGGCTCCACTTAGAAATCTCAGTCTGTGAGGTGCGTGTTACCAGGTAACCAGGAGAGGCTGCAAATGCCACTTTGTGAGAGGGACAAAGAAGAGGGGCCTCGTGCTCAAAAGCCTTTCATGCAGAGGGAGGGGGTCTGAGGCACGGGCTGCGGGGAGCCGGATTAAGCTGTTTCTCCTTCCACATCCTAACATGACTATTAGCATAAATTATCAGGGCTGTTCGGTACGTTGATGATTAAACTCTTTGGTTGTGCACTTCTTTGTACAAGCAGATGGGGTCCTGGGGGACGACTTGATATTCTTTCTTTCCTTGGCACCGTTAACTTTGAATAAACCTCAGAGGCATTTGGGAAGATCTTTCATTCTAGCCATCAAGGACATATTTAGCTGACCAGGTGGGGGACGGATCACCACACACAAAAATAATAGTATGGACCCTTTCATTTGTACAGACCCACATGGTTAATAATTCAGTCACATCCATTCCCTCCCTTCATCCCAGAGGATGTGGGGTAGCAGTCATTGTCTTTGTTTGCAGACAAAGAGGAAATGGTTAGCAACTTGCGGAAGCTCCCTTGGTTGGCACCTGGACCCCCAGGCATTTGAGTTTCCCCTGGTGCTCTTTTGCCACACCCAGTGGGTGCACAGGTGGGCGACTATTCTGTTACCTGAGCGGTGGATCTGTGCCACCCCAGCATTTCTAGGGCTGTTGCTGGCATGGACACAAGGAAACAAATGTTTAGCAAGAAAGATCTAGAGAAACAAAGCTGGCACATTCCGACTGGACCCACCAGGCGCCGTCCTCCCTCTTGAAATCTGTGTCACCCTTGTCAAATGCAGGTAGAAAGCACCTGGCTCTTCCCAGAGTGTGGCATCTCTGGCAACAGTGAGGGGAGAGGCTGTGCCCCAGGCTCGCCAGGATGAGGACTATGGGCATGGCCTCTGGAGCCTCAGGGTAGATAAAGCCCACCAGTAGGCCTGCTCCCCAGAGGCCAGTAGGGGCTTTGGAGCAGGCAAGGCACTTGGAGGAGATTATCCTTGGGGTAGCACAGTCTGCCAAGTCCTTGGGTCTCTCTGGGGAAGTCTTTTAGTTTGCAACTAAAGAATAGTCTTGTAACTGTCCTTCCCAATAGCCGAGGGGGAGGGGAGGAGGAGAGGAGGGCGAACAGGCCCCTGTGCCCATTTGAAAGAAGAAACTGAGACCAAGTCACAGCATTGGGGTGTAGCAGAGACAAGATTTGAACCTGGGTTCATCCTGCCTGTAGTCATGACGTTGAGCACCCCAGCACCACACTTGAGTGAGCCCTTGGGGACAGTAGGATTGGCAATGTCCTGCTAGTGTAGAGGATCTATCAGCCATTTAATAGTATCTCTACATCACTCCCTGGGGTGATGTTTGGAGGGTTTTATTCTTGTGCAGAAGAGAGTAAACAGAGCAGCCCTGAGACTGTATCCTTAGACAGGCTTGCTGGTGAGATTAACCCTTGGTTAGTGTCTGGGAACTTGGATTTCCAGAGGATTCCTGACATTTGCAGAACTGCTGAGGGCGGCTCACTGTGCCTAAACTGTACCAACACTGTGGTTCATGCTGCACACCTACTTTCCTTCTGGGACCCTGGGATTTTGGTCATAGTGAGCAGAAGGTGCCCAGGGGACCTGCCCCCAATAAAAATCCCAGGCAAGGGGTGAGCCTCCCTGGGAGAGGGATGTTCTCACCATTCACTGCTGGGGCTTAAGCGTGTCCTGTGTGATCCACTGGGAGAAGTTCCTGAAAGCTTGTGCCTGGTTTCCCCTGTCTTCACCCCCTGAGCCTCTTTTCCCTTTGCTGTTTTGCTTTGTCTTCTTTCACTGTAATCATAGCTTTGTATAAAACTGTGCTGAGTTCTGGGGGTGCCTGGGTGGCTCAATCAGTTAAGCGTCCTACTTTGGCTCAGGTCATGATTTCACAGTTGGGGAGTTTGAACCCCACATCGGGCTCTCTGCTGTCAGCGTGGAGCCTGCTCTGGATCCTCTGTCCCCCTCTGTCTCTGCCCATCCTCCGCTTGCATGCACGTGTTCACTCTCCCTCCCTCCCTCTCTCTCTCTCTCTCTCTCTCTCTCAAAAATAAACATTTTTTTAAAATACTGTTTTGAATTCTGTGAGTCCTCCTAGCAAATCACTGAACCTGGGGGTTGTCTTGAGGATCCTCAACACGACCCCTAAGGAGCCCTTTCTTATTCTGGAATGGAAACAGTCAACAAACGTTTCACTTTAAAAATCACTGTGGTGGGGCGCCTGGGTGGCTCAGCCAGTTAAGCGTCTGACTTCAGCTCAGGTCACAGTCTCATGGTTCGTGGGTTCGAGCCCCAGTTCAGGCTCTGTGCTGACTGCTCAGAGGCTGGAGCCTGCTTTGGATTCTGTGTCTCCCTCTCTCTCTGCCCCTCCCTACTCATGATTTCTCTCTCAAAAATAAAATAAATAAATAAAAATAAGTGTGAGGTTGATGGAATTGGGGTGCCTAAGTTTGAGTCCCCACTCCTCTAGGCACCTCATCTTTCTGAGCCTTGGTTTTCTCATCTGTAAAATGGGGATAAAAGCACCTGCTTAGCAGGGTAGGTATAAGGATGAAAGGAGTAGTGTATGTGGAAGAGTCATATAAGTAGAAGGCAAGACAGTGTGGACAGAGCTCAGAGCCCAAGCCCTGGGCTCAAAGCCTTGCCCTATCATTTAAGCCTGGGTAACTCTGCTAGCTCCACAGCAAAATAGAGTGCCTGGCACACCGCAAGCTCTCAGTCAGATGGTGGCATTATTACCACTATTACTATTAATGACATCAATGGCTGATTAGGAAGAGCTATTATGGATAAAAATATTTTAAATTTACAATCAGATGTGTTAATATTAAAACCAGATTACTATGACAAAGAGCAGCATGAGGAAGATTTTCGAGATAACTGGACTCTTCTATATCTTGGTTATGGTGGTGGTTATGTGACCATAGGCATTTTGTCAAAACTTAGAGCTGCACTCTGCAAGGAATAACATGCTGTATGTGAATTTAAAAATAAATACAAATTTCAGGGTCAGTTTGTCAACCAAAGCTGGGGCTATTTTGTAATAGAGGTGGTATTTTCTGCCACAAAATCAGTAGCAAAGACAGAATTTCCAAGACAGTCTTGCTTAATGGTAGTTACTCAAAAGAGGGAGAGGGAAATTCGAGGAGAGAGAACATTGAAATGTGATTTACCGGTTTATTCATTTAGGCCTGAAAGGGATTGATGAAACCTCATTTAAAATTGATGACTTTACATGAATGAAAGTAAAACATGTTGATTGAGTGTCCCTCTGGAATCCATTGAGGGCTCTGGAATAAGATGTGGTTCTGATTGTTCCCCCAGCGAGCCATTTGAGGCCGGCTGGGCTCCGGGGAGGTGGTGTTGGCCAGAGGGGGTGGATAAATTAGATTCTCTTTGTCATGTTGCAGATGGGGCCCCTGTTGGAGGTGGGAGTGTGTGTGTGGTTCTTTGTGGCAGTTTGCAGGTGGCTGGGATGCATAGGGCATGTTAGAAGCCTAGGACCTTGGTTCACTGGGGGACCTTTGGTTACACTCAGTGTTGTGGGTAGAGGTATGGGGCTTGGGGGCAGAGGTATGGGGTTTGGGGGCCAATCATATGGGCACAACTGAAGGAGTGGGCTGATCAGGCTGAGAAGGAAGAAAGAAGCCTAGGGGTGGAGAGGGCAGCATCTGTGCAGCACTCAGAGGCTGTAGGACTCCAAAAGGCATCAACACATGGGAGTTATGAGGAGGTGGGTTTTAGCTCCAAGTGAAGGCAAGCTTTCTTAGGAATGGAGCCGTCCAAGGATGGACAGGCCTGGCTCCGTAGGTAATGAGCTCTCTGTCACTGGAGGCATGCAAGTAGATGCTAGATGAGCACATCACAGATGATCAGGCACAGGATCTTGGGGAGTTGGGCCCCTCCAATCTTAGATTCTGGTTCTAAGGCAACTTTCCAGAGATATTTTTCTTTGGTACCAGCTTGACAAAGTCTGTCTGGAGAGGCCAGAGCAGCCTCGTTTCTGTGTCTTTTCACTCCTGTCCCTCCCTGATCTTCCTGTAGCCTTCAGTCCCCTTTCCTTGCTCTCCTTTTTATTGTAGCCTCACCCAGGCAGGGGAGGGCCCTTTCCTTCATGCTTCAGCCCCAGGAGCATAGACCCTGCAGTTTGATGGCCAGAGAATGAATGTGTTTGCTCTTTATTTGCCATGTGCTTCTTCATCCAGTCATCTGCTTACCAAACCTGCTCCTGATGTCCCATTACATGTCCTGTTAACTTGAACCATTACTCTGACACTCATCACCTAGTAAGATCAGGTCAAGAGCCCTGCAAGCAGTGGGTATTAATTATCCCCATCTTACAGACAAGTAAACCCAAGCAGAGAGCATTTTCCTCCCCAGGCCCCACCATTGCATCTTGCCCAAGAAACCGAGGGCCAGATGCAGGATGGGCCCAGCTAGTTCAAGTGAGGCCAGATGGAAGCACCTGGATGCCAGGAGGCTGTGCTCCAGCAGGTCAAAGAGGTACAGACACCCTGGTCCTGGACTAGGACACATACCTTCTAGACTAGGACACATACCTTCTAGATCCTGCAGGATGAGGAGCCGTCCCCTGTGCAGTTGAGGGGTGCATTCCATGCAGAGGCTTGGGGAGGCAGTGTGGGCCATTGAGGGGCTGGGTGGAAGGCCAAAGCCAAGGTGGCTGTACTTGATTCTTTTAGCACCAATGTGAGCAGAGCAGGTGGTGGGCCCAGGGAGGAGGACAGTGTGGAGTGTCAGCCAGGAAGTTCTAACTCGGATGCCTGTGTGGTCTCCCTCCCAGCCAGCCCACCCCCCCTCCCCACCCTCCCTTCCCTTTCGGTAATGTTCTGGCAGCCTAGAGCTGCACTGCCTGGGTACCATGATCGTGGCAGCTCCCTCTCTCCGCGCATCCTCAGTCCCTGCGCCTCTGGCTTGTGCTTGCAGCTCTGCCCACTGGGAGGGGGCCGTCAGGGGAGGGAGGCCTCCCGAGAGTCTGCGAGTCTGTGATATGCAAACGAGCATCTGGACCCGCCCCGCAGGGGGTCTCAGCTCGGTGTGTGCAGCTGTTCAGCATGGCCTGTTCTTTGAACCGCCCTCCATGTGGAAGGAGAAAAGCCCATCTGTTAGAAGACTCAGTGTTGGTGAGGTGACACCAGCCCCTCCCCGGGCGCGCACAGCATCTACCGGAGTTGAGCTGTAAGCAGATGGCAGCCGGGGTCCTGGAAGGGGCCCTGGGCGGGAGTGTGATCAGACCCGAGCCCTGCCACAGACCTGGCGGGTGGTTTGGGAAGTCGCCTCTCCTCCCCAGATCCCTGTTTTCCTGTTGGTAGAACAAAGACAATGGATGAGGAGACGTGTAGGCATCCCTCCAGGTCTGAGGGAAACACGAATGTGTTCTTTATGTGCTTAGAGGTTTCCTTTGCGGCTGCCCCCTCAGGTGGGACTGTCCCAGCAGGCTCTCTGCAGGTAGGGAGTTCTAGAGGTGGGTGCTGGGAACCCGGCATGGTAAAGCTTGTGATCCCTTGTCTTCTTCCTCCAGCCCCTGTGGTGGTCATTCCACCCCGGAGTGTCCATAACGTCACTGGGGCACAGGTATACCTGTCCTGTGAGGTGAGGGCCGTGCCCACCCCTGTCATCACGTGGAGGAAGGTACTTCTGTCCAGGAATTCCTGTGGCGGGGGGGAAGGGAGGGAGGGAGGGGGAGAGGGAGAGAATGAAAGAAAAAGAGAGGAGTTTCTCATGTGTTTGTATATGTGTCTTTATACGTAAAGCCACTATTTTAAAAAGATATGTTACATGTTCACTCCTCTACCTCCAGGTTTACACCTCAAAACTTTTACCCTAAAGCTGTCCCCAGAGAAGGGGAGTGCCATCCTTCCTTGTGCCATTTGCTCCCTTGGCCACTTAGTGGTTGGGAAAGTTCACCTATGTATCTAACCTAGATCCACTGGAATGAAGTTAGAGCCTACTTCACTGGATCTGGGTTTTAGAAAGACTATCCAAGTCTTAGTCCAAAACTAGATCTTCCTGCAGATCAATTTTTGAGAGACTGGCTTGGATCACAGCATATGTTGTCCTCCTATCTCGACGGCCCAGAGAAGGGCCATGAAATTCTGAGACACTTCTGTGGGACAGTGATGGTGTCGCATCGTTGCTGTCCAGCAGGGGGTGCTGTCTGCACATACACTTAGGGTTAAAAAGCCACTGATCTTTTAATAGGAGGAAGAGGTGCTAGGCTTTGGCTTTGAGTCAGTAGGAAGATGAAGACAGCAAGGATGTCTGTGGTGCATTTCTTATGCAGAAATGCTTTTTCTAACTCACTCCTGGCTTTCCTGTCCTCTGTAGGTCACACAGTCTCCTGAGGGCACTCAGGTGCTAGAGGACCTCCCTGGGGACCACGTCAATATAGCTGTCCAGGTGCGAGGGGGCCCTTCTGACCACGAGGCCACAGCCTGGATTTTGGTGAGTATCTTGTTTGTTTAGGATTACTGGCTATTATTCATTGGCCCTAATAAAGCACCCTTTTATTTTTATGGCACATTACACATTTCAAAGCTGTTGTTAACCCTTTTCTCGTTGGACCCTACAGTAACTGTGAGGAAAGCTTAACCCCTGAGAGCGTAAGTGATCTTCATTGGTGGTCAGAATTTGTGGCCCCAAAAAGATGTCCCTGCCCTAATTCGTGGAATCCGTGGATATGTTATATCCAAGAGGGGATTAAGGTTGCAGATGGAATAAAGTCAGCCAGTCAGCTGGCTTTGAAGACGGAGGAAGAGAGCCACAAATCCAGGAACCCAGGCAGCCTATCTAGAATGGGTTTTCCCCTAGGATCCCTAGGAAGAAGGCAGCTCTTCTAATACCTTCATTTTAGCCCCCTGCTTCCCATTCAAGACTAAATAAATATAGGGGCGCCTGGCAGGCTCAGTCGGTAGAGTGTGCAACTCTCGATCTCAGAGTTATGAGTTCAAGCCCCATGTTGGGCATAGAGATTGCTTAAAAATAAAATCTTTTTTTTAAATTCTTTTTATTTTTTTAAAATAAAGTCTATTTATTTATGTTGAGAGAAAGAGAGAGAGAGAGAGAGAGAATCCCAAGCAGGGTCTACACTGTCAGAGAGAGAGAGAGAGAGAGAGAGAGAGAGAATCCCAAGCAGGGTCTACACTGTCAGCACAGCCCAACATGGGGCTCAAACTCACAAAACTATGAGACCATCTGAGCCAGAGTCAGACACTTAACTGACTGAGCTATCCAGGCACCCCAAAAATAAAATCTTTTATAAAAAAAATTTAAAAACCTAAATATAATAAATGTGTGTTGTTTTAAGCCATTAAGTGCGTGGAAATTAGTTATGGCAGCCATAGGGAACTAATTTATACACGTACCCAAGACCACCTAGCCAATAAAGAAGACTGCATGTTTGCGCCCCCTCCAGGGCTCTTCTAGGCCACGTGGCAGTTCGAGTCGTGAGAACACTGTGGTCTGAAAGAGTGAGGGAATGACAGAATGGGGGTCTGTGTTAGGCTGGCCACTCTACCTCTTGGGCTCAGTGTCCACAATTGTAAGAGGAGGGCCCTGTGACCCAACAGTCTGTGACTTAGCTGCCAGTCTCCTGTAATATCAGGATAACGATGCTCCCCCTTTCCCTCCCAATGAGCGTGAGTTCAAAATGAGATGATGTACCTAACCCCTGGCCAGTTTGCAGTGACTCACGATTGACAACTGAAGCAAGAGAGGAGAGAGCCAGTGTGGGTCTGTTCTGCAGGGGCATGAGAACAGGCTGCTCTCTGGGGGTGTCCAGCTCATTTTACCCCCATCTCTGCAAGGTTTGGTGATGTCTCCATCCAGCTCAGAGACTCAATATGCAGCTGAGTCCATGGCTTTTTCAAATCAAGCACCTCCCCGTCTTGATTACAAGAAAGGGTAGGAGAAGATGGTCTCTCTCCTGTTACTTTGTAAAGGCTGCCTCCATGGGGAACACTTGCAGGCCATTCCCTGGTCAGTAAATTTTTGTTCTTTTAACTTGGAGTGTTTTCTTGTGATGTATGTTTATCACCTTCAATAAAAGGACCAGGTAAGCTCACAGTAAAAGACAGGAATGCAAAGGAGGCATTAAAATGAGAGCCGCCGGGGCGCCTGGGTGGCTTAGTCGGTTAAGCGTCCGACTTTCGCTTAGGTCATGATCTCGCGGTTCGTGGGTTCGAGCCCCGCGTCGGGCTCTGCGCTGACTGCCAGTTCAGAGCCTGGAGCCTATTTCAGAGTCTGTATCTCCGTCTCTCTCTGACCCTCCCCTGCCCACGCTGTCTCTCTCTTTCTCTCCCCTAGAAATAAATAAAAAATATCAAAAAAAATAAAATAAAATGAGAGCCGCCATAGAGAGGGTACAGAGAATAAAATTTAACTCTTTTTTGGCAGCTGAGGCAAGAAGAGAAATAATGTGCTCTATCTTATTTTGAAAAAGAGTAAGTATTCAGACGCATCATTAGGAATGAAACAAGGAAGTGATTTTGCCGTGCTGTATATGACTACATAAACTTGCCTGTTTTATTTCTAGATCAACCCTCTGAGGAAGGAAGATGAAGGAGTGTACCTGTGCTATTCAGCAAACGCCGTTGGGGAGGCCCAGTCCCATGGCACGGTGACTGTTACGGATCTGAGTAAATACATAGGCCCCCGCTTCCCAGCTCCGGACGACCGCCTGTGATGGAGCAGTGTACGTGTTCTAAGTCATTTACGGTAGTTATACACCTGTGTCACAAGAGACTGAGATGCCTTATAAGACGCATGACAACAAAGAAGAAAAACATGTAAATCGGGGAGGGAATACCAAACAGAAGTAGGAGCATGTTACAGCTAGCAGGTAGCATCTCCAGGGAGGTCAACACCATACCACTCCGGGCTTCCCTCCTGGCATGCCAAGTTGGGAGCTGTGAACATTGTGGGTGTCAATAGGTGGGAAAGACCAGTTGTTGTTTTTCTGAAGCTGAACAGAACATTTCCTTCCAGTCCTGGAGAGGGCACAGAGAGAGCAGACATTGTCATCGTGACAGCACCCATGGGAAAACATGCCCGCAGAGGAGGCCGTGTGTCTGTCCCCAGGTTCTACCTGGGGAAGAACAGCGGTTCGTGCTTAGCAGTGTGTCTCCAGGAGAATCTGCATCTCCCCCGGCCCCAGGGCTCTTCGTCCCCGCAGTCTGCCGGGTGAGAGCTGGGCTTGCGTTAGTCCCCTGCCCACAGGCAGACTGTGAACCTGGGAAACAAGCTCCCAAAGTAGCGAGCGTCTGCTGCGTTGCCCCCAGGGCCCGCTGGGGCACAGCCACCAACGTTTATGTCTTGCTCACATTCCTTGTCGTGGCTGCGGTTGGTTGGCTGTGGCTCTGTTCCGTGTATCATATCAGGACCCAGCTGGAGGAGCAGCCCCGGTGTGGCCTGGGTCCGTTCTTTGTGGCAGAGGGGATGAGCGAGAGACTGAGCCAGGTACACAGTCCCATTTAAACTTCTGTTCAGATGTGGCGGGTGTCATATCTGCTTAAGTGCAGCCAGGCCCAGCATCAGCGGGGTAGGGGATGCTGCTGCCATCCTAGGAAGCCAGGGCAGGGATGCTGGCTTTTGCTGCAGCTGTAATGCATAGTCTTTCCTATTAGGCCACTACGGTTGCATACCTTCTGTGTACAAGGCCTTACATCAGGTCTGTAGGGAGGCACAGAAAAACAAAACAAGGAACAGCATTAAGCGAGAAGGGGTACAGTGTTAAGGAAGTGAGGGGCGTGTGAGGACAGAGAAGCTGCTTAGGACTGGGGAAAAACAAAGAAGGATGTCACTGAGGAAGTGGCGTTAGAGTTGAAGGATGGTGGATGAAGTCGTTTGCACTTCTGGAAACAGGGAGGAAAATATAAGGTGGGAAATGGTCAAGTAGGAATTCAGGTAGGAGATGGTTCTTAAAGTTGCCCTCTTGATTCTATGTTTTTTATGTATATGTATTGTTTTATGTTCTCATATATGTATCAAATATCAGGACTTTTTTCCTGCACACACGTGTACATATATGTATGTCTATATATATATTTCATGTTTCAAATGTGTACACAATTTTTAAGTATATATGTATTTAAAAAACAATGAAATTAGGCTATGAATTCAGTCTATTATAGATGAGTTTTCAAAAGAGAGCCACAAAGAACCATGGAATTTTAAGAATATGCCACGACCCAGTTCTTCAGTTCCCCCTACAATATGCAGTACTGGCCAGCTCTTGCTTGCATACCTCCAGTGGTGTGGAGCTCACTACCATCAGACTTCTATTTTTGGATTTCCTGGTAGCTGAAAGTTCTTTCTTGTATTAAACTGCATTCTGTCTCTCTGAAATGTCCATCCAGTGATCCCACTTGTACTTCTTGGACACCTCCAAGGCCCTTCTGCTCTCCACCAGCACCACCCCTTGCCAGGAAGATATAAGATTAAATTGTTTCCCCCACCATCCATTTACCATACAGTTGATTGTGGCAGAGCAATCAACTTCTTTTCTCTCACCCTTTTCTCTCTTTCCTTCTAGGGTCTTAGAAACATTGATGACAGGATGTTGGAAAAGTCAAGTCATGGATCCTTTTTTTCCCCCTGTGAAGAGTTGGAGAAACTGTAGATGACCCCTTTTGTATGTTTTTAAAAATTAGATGCAAACTAGATTCGTATGCAGATGTAGTTTTTAGCAGGGCAAGTTTCCACCAGACTGCATGTGGCTTTTTTATACTTCTGAAAGGCACTGCTCTGTGAGAATTCTTTTTTAACTCCCTCCCAGGGAAGGTCACCTGGTGGCGTATTTGTAATTCTAAAGGGGCTGGAACAAGGCCTCTGTGGCCTTGCGCCTTTACCTCATTTGTCTGTGACTGATTAGCAAAGCTCTGTGACTTAGTGTGTGTTTTGGGAGTAGGGAGAGAGTCCCACCTCCATCCTCTGCCTCCTCTCTGACTTGCTGTGTGACCTGGAGAGTCCCCTCCCCATTCTGGGCCTTTGTCTCTTGACCTGGGAGTGCGGCATTTGGACTAGATGTTACCTGTGTCCCTTAGAGCCCTGCCATCCCAGAGTAAGATGGCCCTGTGGAAAAAATAAAGAAGTGTAGTCTTGGCATTACTTTTCAGAACATCTCAAAACAGCTGCCATGGCTGCATACCAGGGTGGGTGTGGAGCTGGCTGCAGCTTTTCCATTCCTGCCCTTTTCCCACCTTAAAGAGATGGAGTTCTAGGGGCACCTGGGTGGCTCAGTCGGTTAAGTGTCCGACTTCGGCTCAGGTCATGATCTCACGGTTCGTGGGTTCGGGCCCTGCGTCGGGCTCTGTGCTGACAACTAGCTCAGAGCCTGGAGCCTGCTTCAGATTCTGTGTCTCCCTCTCTCTCTGACCCTCCTCTGCTCACGCTGTCTCTCTCTCTCTCTCAGAAATAAATAAAAATTTTAAAAAAACAAGAGAGAGAGAGAGAGATGGAGTTCTAGATGGGACAATTTACCAGGCTCAGGAGCCCCTTTGCTGGGTGCTTGGGGACCAAGATGTCCCTTTATCAACAAGCCCAGCATTCTCTAACCAGGTAAGCAGTAGACACCTGGCTTCTGGACATCAAACTGAAGAAATGGGGTCAAATGCTTCTTCCTCTGAGCTGTGAGATTAGAGTATTAGTAGAATACATTTTACTTAGAGATGTTTTGACCTCACCCAGGAATTAGGCTTTCTTTCTTTCTGTTCTTTTCTTTCATTTCTTAACATTCTTTCTTTTCCTTTCTTTCCTTCCTTTTCTTCTTTTTTCTTTTTTAATGTTTATTTATTTTTGAGAGAGAGAATGCACAGTGCAAGTTGGGGAGGGGCAGAGAGAGAGAGAGACACAGAATCTGAAGCAGGCTCCATGCTCTGAGCTGTCAGCACACAGCCCAACACGGGGCTTGAACTCACAAACCACGAGATCATGACCTGAGCTGAAGTCAGAAGCTCAACTAACTAAGCCACCCAGGTGCCCCTCTTTTCTTTTCTTTCAGTGAGACAAGTATTTATCTAAGTGAAAAAATAGATTCCCCTGGGTGACTAAAATTTTTTAATTTTTTTTTTAATTTTTTTTTATTTTTGAGAGAGAGACAGAGTGTGAGTCAGGGAGGGGCAGAGAGAGAGGGAGACACAGAGCTCTAGGCTCTGAGCTGTCAGTACACAGCCCGATGCAGGGCCTGAACCCATGAACCGTGAGATCTTTTTTTTATATTTTTTTTTTATTTTTTATTTCTAGGATAGAGAGAGACAGCGTGAACAGGGGAGGGTCAGAGAGAGAGGGAGACACAGACTCTGAAACAGGCTCCAGGCTCTGAGCTGGCAGTCAGCACAGAGCCAGACGCGGAGCTCGAACACACGAACCGCGAGATCATGACCTAAGCGAAAGTCGGACGCTTAACCGACTAAGCCACCCAGGCGCCCCTGAACCGTGAGATCTTAACCTGAGCTGAAGTCAGATGCTTAAGCGACTGAGCCACCCAGGTGCCCCTAAAATTATTTTAAGTCAGAACTGGGATCTCACTTGTGTCTCATCCTTAAAGTTCATAAAACGCTTTTTCTGTCTGTGGCCACTTCACAACTCCAGCAAATCAGGCAGGGTGAGCATGGATGTCCCTCCCACTTTGCAGATGAAGAAACCAGGCTCCGATACAGAGGCGTTTGCCCAAGGTCCGAGGGCCTCTGAGAAGGATCAGAACTCAGGGCACCTGGCCCCGCCGACACCTTTTCTATACCATGGTGCTGCTTCTCAGGATAATCTCATGGCTGTGGAAAGGAAGGGGCTTCAGGGACTCTCCTCCAGGTTCCTCTCAGCTTTTACAGCACACTCACATGCCACTCCCCCTGGGCATCACATTCTAGAATCCTTTTTGGAATTGCATTTTCTGCCTTTGTGCCTGGCCGTTCCGTATCTGAAATATTGGGGTGGCATCACCCTGATGTACTACATGGCAGGAGCTTTGGCCTGAGAATCCAGAAACATGAGGTCCTTTTGGGGATTCATCCTTGGCTTGCTGCCTGACTCAAAGCAAGTCCTCTTGACTTTCCAGACCTCTATTTCCTCATTTGAATAAGAAGGCAACGAAACTAGATGGGTAGTTTGCAAACTTTAAAACATTGGAACCCCTTTATTGGAATAAAATCAGAGTTGAAACTGATTAACTGGAAGCTGTGCTTGTGTGTTGGAAGGTGGGGCTGCAGGGGGCCTGCTCACATCCCCCCCTACTCGGCACCCCTACCCCCTTCCCGCCCCACCGCAGGGTTTCTGTACTCAAGATCTGCAGCTGAGTCTCTGTGATTTGCATAGTTGGGAAAAGACTTGGTAAGGCACTTGCAGCGAAACTGTCATAAGTAGGGATGCTGTGGCCCTGGAGAAGGTACTAGAACATCATGCATCTGCTGATAAGCATGTCCAGCAGAACCCATTGACTCACCTCACATTTGCCGGGTCACAGCTGGAGAGCTGGGTCTAGATGCAGAGAGCGGGGCAGACGGGGCGCTTGGGTGGCAGAGCTGGACAGCAAAACCACAGGGGGCTGGGTTAGCGTCGTAATGATGTGCAAAATAATAATAATGCACTGTCTGAAATTTTCACCAAAACTGAAAAGGCAGATTAACAGGATTGTTCCAGTAGGAGACCCCTCCCGGGCCGGAAAGAATGTGTGCTGTTGCTGTGGCCGTT